TAACGCGAAGATGGTTATCCGCCGATTCCGATAAAAAGAGCGTCACCCCGATCGAGTCGCGCCCTTCGCGCATCGTGTAGTTCACGGATAGTGAAGTTCATTTAGTGAATGAAAAACAATCGGCTCCTGTCGGATACGTTTAATGTTAGAGTGCACGAACAAGTGCAGTGTAAGTGTTTGAAAATTTTTAAGTGAAGAGTGACGGTGGTGTAATGAAGTTGAGTTTAAGAACGTAGGAGCAACAATCTTAGTGTGTTAAAATTTTGAAGAGTGACAATGATCGTGCGGTGAATTGCGGGGTTCCTTCCCTGAACAGAGGATCAGCTGTGGCCTACCTGCGAGCGGCAAGGACGCTGACCCACTGACCGTGGCTCATTGTGAGCAGGTGCACTTGCGGATTAATGGGTAAGTCTAATCTCTACAGTCTTTGCATTTTCTTTTTAATTCAATATTTCCTGCGACTTGTTAGTTCCTCATTTATCCTATCATCATCCATTAATTATCAACAATCTATCATTTCACCATCTAATCCACGTGAATAACGATTAAGTGTATTAATTGTTATTCATAATAACGCACGAACAACAATTTCCTTGCATTGTTATTCATGCAGTTTATAAAACGCTTCGTACTGAGCGGAGCGCTTGTTCAAATGCGTGAAAAGCCGCGCGGTCGGATCCGAGCCAACGCTCCCGAGTCGGAGCCCGCGTCGACCGAGCGCTCTGATTGGTCCGTGTTTTTTGTTAATAACTCGGTAACCAAGCCCCATTCTGCATTTTGCCAAAGGAAATTGTTGTTCAGGAAGACCCTCCCAATCTGCCATTTTCGGCTCCAACACCTTTTCTGGGACACCCTGTATGTAAACAGTTACTTTAATGTAGTTAGCGCGGAATATTAGCGTTTCTTAAGAATTTCTATTTCAAAAAATTGTTTCGAATTTGGCCCCTCGGAATCTAAATTTTCTCTCATCGGAAATATTATTTTTCATGAGATATTTGCAAATAAAAAAGCAAAAATTTGTTATCTGCGAAGCAAATACTAAATGGTCTTTTTACACAAATATTATGATACCAAAAAATTATTCCCGATGAGTCTTCTAAGATCAAGAAGTTATATATATCAGTAACTATTTATTACTAAAGGTCTGCCTACACCAGGCATGGCCAAAGTTGTCGCCGCGCGACACGACATCGCCTTTTTCCGCTTTATATGACCTTCAATGTCCTCGTGTTATAGGTCGTTGAATTCGTTTTAAGATTCTCTATCATGAAACGGAAGCAAAAATATACCGATCCATTTAAAAAAACACCGATGATCTTGTAATCTCGAAAAAAATGACCTTGAGCAAAATTTTTTACCAATCAGAATATGTGTCCCATCGGATACAATAACTTTTTCTTCTAACATTTTTTTGTATCATGAATAACAAACGAGATATTTCAAATGCCAGAGTTAGCTGGGACACCCTGTATAGAAAACACATAGTCCAACTAGTCACGAGTCATAGAAAGTGTTAGAGATAGAAAGAGAGGACGCGTCACAATTTTGTATGTAAAATGTATGCGTGCGAAATTGGTTCCAAAACCTTTGAGTCACTTACACATAAAACGAAATATTAATATTTTTTAACAACCACTGGCACAAACAATTGATCTCGATTTGCTCCTTCAGAATCTGAGATTCCTCCCATCGTAAAACATGCTAGTAAATGATGTTTCCATGAAGATATTATGGTATCAAAAAATTGTTCCTATTTTGTTTCATAAAATTCTATATCATCAATAGTTATGTATCACAATAACAACTTACTGACAAGCAGCTGTTGAAATGACATTGTTTTATACATGTTAGGTATGTTTTGACATTATGCATCTACAAGTACATAACTCTCAACAGATATTTCTACAAAAATCGTAATATAATACACTAAGAATAATAAATATAGTGTACTGTGTTATATTGGGTATAGTGGACGGTCGTTTATAACGCCATAACTTATCAGCATATGTGCTATAACTTTGTTTTCTATTGCTCATTAGTAATAAATTGTTATTGAGATATCTAACTTTTCGATCTCATAAAACCGATCAGGAACAATTTTTTGGTGTCATAATATTTGTGTAAAAAGATAATGTGGTACATGCGTCGCAGATATCAAATTTTTGCTTTTCTATTTGCAAATATCTCACGAAATATAATATTTACGATGGGAGTAAATTGGAAGTAATTTTTTGAGATAGAAATTCTTAAGAAACGTTAGTAGTCTCCGCCAACAAAAAACATTGCGATTTGTCCAAATCGCAAAGAAAAAAAGGAAAGGGCATGTTTTTCAACATTTTTATTAGAGTCTCTAATATAAAGGAACATCCTGTTTGTAGATCTAAATAAGTTATATGCATGTATAAAGTGTCATAAAAATCAGTGAAAACATAAAAACGTTAGATATATCGGAACATTTAAAAATTCTTTACTTTATTTCAGTTATAGATTGAAAGTCGTGCAAAACTGCGATTTTTGAAATTGCTAATTGCTTGTAGCTCATAGGAACATTGACCAATTTTTATAAAGTTTCGTACATGCATATAACTTACTTATATGTCTAGATCTGCAAACGGGATGTCTCAAATTTTCATTAGAGAATCTAATAGAAAGGTTAGAAATCATGTCCTTTACTTTTTTATTCGATACGTTGACAAATAGCAATTTTTTCGATTGTATTACAATAAGAATCGCGTTAAATGAAAATCTTTTGGGTCTGAACTTAACGTAGAGGAGATACAATTCTTATCTTTTATTTACTGTATCGAACAGGACAGCAGATGGAAAGCAGGAGAACGAACGAACGGTTCTAATAGCTGTAGCTGACAAACATCGAAGATGTACCAATGACTCTAATACTAATTCAACATCAAAACTTTCTTTGGATATCGTCTACGGATCGTATTAAATTACGCGATGATCCGATTACACTACCGAGCACGAGCGAAGTCAGACGTAGTGAGCATGAAAATGAGGACAAAAATTTAATATTTAACGCAGAACTTATTTTCGTGTATAACGCGAGTCTACTTTAGTAGCTATAGTAAGCTAAGCCTTCATCTCAACAGAGAATTAAGTTAGTTGGTCCAATATTAAAAACGTTACTCCGTTTTAAAATGTGTCCGAATATTAATGAGAGCCATTGTACACGAAGAAGCAGTCACAAAAAGCAGGAGAGCTTCAATTACCCTTGATCAACCCGATAATCATAACAATCTTCCTCACCAATATTTTTCAACGTATCCGGATGCTTCTTCAATTCCATCAACATGTTTATGAAGTCTGGTCTAACAATCCCATTTTTCTTCCTATACTTCATAGTATCCGATATAACTTTGGTAACAAATTTGGTTGCCTCCGTATATGGTAGCACGTAACCGAACAAATTGTACAGTTCAGGTGCAATCTCTCTAAACATAAATCTAAGAATGGTTTTCGAGTCGTGTTCAAAAATTTGCCTTCCTATTCTTCTAAATACACTTTTTTCGTCTGATAACGCTTTCATATTTATTCCAAAGGCACAAGAACCGATCACATCTGTAGTAAATCTGGCTGCGATTTCACAGCATTCGATTGGTTCTCCTTTCCCCACAATTCTCTCTAAATATTCTTCCAGTTGCTCGGCACATTCCAATATTAATGGGAACATTTCTTTCAATTTTCCAGATGTGAACACTGGGGAAATTCTCGCTCTTAGTGGTCGCCATTTCGATGATTCCAAGTTGAAAATATTTGCTGCTAATGGATCGGCCTGTATTAAAAATTGAAAATTTAAAGATTGTAGGGCATACTGCTACGGACACCAGAAGTTATGAATAAGACGTGTTGACAGAAAACTAATAGGGCTCTCGATAAAGGGAGATGACTAATAGATAGCGGATTATTTGCATTTATAAGAAAATGGAATATGCACAAATTATAAATGCCACGTGTAACGTACAAAACTATGTGCAGCATCCAAAACTTAATGAATATTTCAATGTTTGAATGATAAAATAAATGTTTACCTGAAACACATCTTTTAAACTGATAACGTAAATGTTTTATTTTGCATAAATATCCGCTATCTAAAAAGTCCGGCTCTTTGGCGACGTTGGGTCGGTTATGATAAATGTATACGCATGTGTACTGTGACTTTCATGATAGGTAGAAATTACGTGTTAAACACAGTACTTGTGACTCTCATATTACGTAGCAGTTACCTTCTGCGGGGTGTGAGTTGCAATTTCTGCAGAATTAACCAGTAACCGAGGAGGTGGAATAAGCGTTTAGGTATAACTCCATAAGTAATCGGAAAAGTACTAAGCGATTCGTGATGTTGAAAGTGTTTATACACAAATTTGAATCGAAAGGGTGAGCTAAAGAGGAGTACAGTGGCACAGAAGAGTATTCGAGCACTTTCTCAAAAGGTAACTTTTCTAATAGTTCAAACAACATAATTTTCCACAATGATTTTGATGAAACTTCGTACGTGCCAACAACTTACTAAGCTATGCAAACGAAACGTTTTTTATTCGAAACACGAATAAGAAAGTTAAAAAATGCGGCCAATAAAGATTTGTGACGAATTTTTTATAAATTATACACGCATAAAAAATTACATTGTTTGGTACTTTTTACACATTACTTTTTATAGCCCGAAAACTAAGCCTATAACTCGTTAATGGACTGCGGATTTTATGCATTTATGAGACATCTAAATGTGCAAAAAATATAAACACTGCATGTAGTACATAAAAATATAAAAAATATTCGAAAGCAGAGTGCATATTGCAATATTTCAACAATAAATGTAATTGTTACTTAAAACATTTTTTTCAAATTATTACTATAAATATTTTGCATAACAATCTGCAGCCTGCTGATCAAACTCAAAAGATATTGATAAATACGTAAAGACACATTTCACCTACGTAGGTCGTAGACAGAAAGTCCACGAATTGATTTGTAATAAAAAGTTGATTACGTAAAATTTTGAAATAAAAATCTTTTGGTTAGCTCAATGTTGAAAGAAAGGCAAAATCCTATTTTTACTCTTCTTGTACCGCGCAATTATTTATAATAATGTTGATTGCTTTACAGATAAATATACCTTATAACTCCGAAGTATATGTATAACAAAGCTACGACCAAGTTTCTTAAGTCTTTTTTAGATTTTTGCTCACATACAAACAAACGATTCTCTTTACATATACAATAGTAAATTATACGTACTCGTTGAGGAATGAAGATTCCACGATTGTCAAAGACAGAGAAATCTTTAATTAGTACATCTTTAATTAAATCCATATCACGCACAACCAGATGTGGCGACTTTCTAATGAATAAGCCAAACATAGGAATATCTTTGTAATTAAAATATAATTCTGTCACATAATTTCCTAAGGTGCGTCTTCTCAGCATAATGTCTTTCACGTTCCCAAAAAATAGAATTGGTTTTGGTCCAGGTACTTGACGATTTTGCCAAAAATTGAACGTACAAGTAAAGTAGTAATACATTGCCAAGGATGCAGCAATTATCAAGCTTAAGATTTCAAAATAATTGATCATGATTGTTCTTAGTTCTTCAAGGCAATGAGAGTTGTGAAATAATTCTGTAAAATTATTTATAAAGTTGGTAAATTATCAAATAAATGGAAATTGATCACTTATTACAAAATCCTATTAAAAAATACATGTACGAATATAGGATGTCTCAAGCTTATGCGATAAAAATTCGCTGATATGTGAGTATATTACAAAAAAATATATTATGTTACATTATTATTATACAGCGTAAGGCAGTAACTTCGCCTACTTCGAATATTTCTGCTATTTTTAAAAAAATGAAAAATTATATTTACCAAAGTTATATTACATCATGATTGGTAATATTTTTTTAAAATATGGAGACGCCTCGGAGATTTCAGTCACTTCTATTTTTTCAAATGGCATGCTATACTCCTTTATTTTTAATGTAGTAGCGTACGTTGATACGATTTCAAGAACCAATAACAGGTCATCCGGCATTAAATAAAAGAGTAAAATAATGATTATCGCCTTATAAAAGATGTGCAAAAGTCAGGATAAAGGGGTAAAAATCGCAATTTCTACAACTTTTGGTTTAAAATCTATATACTTCAAAGTACAAAAACTTTCGACGACGAATTTCGATTCGGCATATATTTATCTCACATAAATGTTCAAAATGTGTTGCCCAAATTTCATTAATTTCATAGATTTCAAACCCAGATAAAAAAGTTGAAAAAAGCGATGTCCACATTTTTCCTAACAATTGTCACCATTTCTAATTTTTTAGAAATTTTCTTTACACATCATTTAGTAACTAATCAACCTGACTAATCAAAAAACTTCAGATCGTTTCGTTCAATCTTAAAAAAGGTTCAGTTCTGCTCTTTAATGTAAGAGCGTTTTAATTTAATGATTTTATTAAAAGTGGATTGTTCTATTAATCGGAAAATATTTTTAAGAGTTATTTTTAATTAATCGTTTAGAAATTGTTAAGACTTACATTACTTAGACAGAAAATTATTGAACACTATTTTTATTTCATTTGTTAAATTATTTAAAATATATTTACTGCTCTAGTTAGTTCAAGCGATGATTTAAAAATTGAGATAAAAATGTAATAATTATAAAAATGTAATTAAGTAGTTAAATAGCATCCTAAAAATTGCTTTATATTTTAAAAATTAAATTTATAATTTAAACTATCAATAGCTTCAAACCAACTTTCTAACTTGAAGACGACACCTTCATGAACTTATAACTGCTGGTCGAACTTGTAACTCGAACATTTACTTTGAAACTTTAACATCAACGTACGTGTTACGTTTAGAATTCTTCACTGTCAATGATCCGTTCTGACTACAATTTAGCTTATTATCTTCTTATATACATTTGCTCAACGAGAAATCGTTATAAACAATCGTTATCTTATATAACATGCAAGGTGAGTCAATGGTAACAACCTGAGAGCTGACTAAATAAATATGACTCGATACACTTAGGATTCCTATCTGAAGAAAATCATTTGATAACTTTACCCATATTAAATATCTTCATCCCTTGCAATAACATAAGAGATACAGTGACCCTCATTAATATTCGGACATAGTTCAAAATGGAATAACATTTTTAATGTTGAACCAAACAAATTAATTTTCTGTAGAATGTTAGAAGGCTTTGTTTACTACATAATGTGTTGTAAAAAATTGAAAAATTGTTATTCGTCGAAATCACAAATAAAAAAGTGAAAGGTATAACGTTTAACATTTTTTAAATTTAAATATTAAACTTCTTAATAAAAATTTGAAACACCCCGTTTCATATAAATGAATTATTGTTGTTTTTATGTTCTCACCGATTTTTTTTAAACTATGTATTTACATGCATATAACGTAGATCTACAAACGGGTTGTTCCAATGGATGTTTATCGAAAACTAATAAAAAAGGTAAAAATCATGTCCTTTCTTAATAGTCCGGGAGCTCACGACATTTTGAAGGTGGTGATCGAACCAAGGCTGATTTTCAGTCATATGTTAGCCTTTCTAAGATACATAAGTGAAACGACCTTCAGCTGCCATTGTTTGGGTGGAGACGGGAATAATAGAGCCACCCGCGCCTAGAAAAACGTAAAAAAAATGCATGGTACCAAAGCTGAAATTTTGTATACAGTTTATTGATGATAATAAATGATGAAAAATCACCTTCAGCTGTGAAAATGGCGGTGGAAAATGCTTCAGCTGCGAGTATAAACACGTGTGAAAATCCATATGGAAAAATTATTTAGTACCAAAGGCGAAATTTATTTTAACGACACGTTAGGAAGTGTACGTTATGAAAACAGTCAAAATCAGTATGAAAAAAAGTCAGGTAGCTACCGGACCGTTTGCTAGTATTACAAGAATGCACTGTTTTGTGTAATATTTTAAAAATTGAACGTTATATTAATAACGTTTCTTTAAGACTTCGTCTTTTGTTCATGGGCATATGTTCCTCGGTGTCCCTTTCTTGATCTCATTTGGATTCAAACCATTATAGCGTATACATGAAAATGAGTGAGATTCCAGCATTTTCTCTTCGGAAAGAAAAGGCAAGTTGATGTCATTTTCCGAATCTACATTTCAAAAGTGTCGTGAAATATTGGTATAGAATATAGAGCAAATGGAGTATTTTATCTTATTGCTTGATAAAATTTTAAGAGATATTTTTGGTGGCGCTTTACACAGAATGGCTTTAAAACTAAGTAGACGTGCTTTTAAGTCATGATCGTTCGAATGTATTGTTACGAGGGAGAACCGTGCCAAGGGCCCGACGGTTGACCGAGTCAGACGACTCAGTCGGGTGTAATTAGGGAAAGACAAAGACGCACAGACGACCCTAATCTAACACTGTGTGTTAGCCTCGGTAGCTGTAGGACGTGGACGACTAGGGAGTGTCAGTCCCCTTTAGCCACTTATGTTTAAAGGATGTCGGATTGGCAGGTCACCTTCGTTGATACGTCTCGAGCGGCTAAGACGTATCGGTTGCGAGATACTCCGGTTATCAGCTAATATGGAATCAGGGGTTAAATGAATATTGACGCGAATTTAAGAGTTTCAACTCACAGTCTTGTATACTCTAAAGTACCCGATACAATATTCTTTATAAATGGTCAACTCTTGACTTTCAAGAGAATTCCTACTCCGATTTACGCAGCGAAGTCGCGGGGAAAATCTAAGTTTAAGGTACCAAAGCTGAAATTTTGTATACAGTTTATTGATGATAATAAATGATGAAAAATCACCTTCAGCTGTGAAAATGGCGGTGGAAAATGCTTCAGCTGCGAGTATAAACACGTGTGAAAATCCATATGGAAAAATTATTTAGTACCAAAGGCGAAATTTATTTTAACGACACGTTAGGAAGTGTACGTTATGAAAACAGTCAAAATCAGTATGAAAAAAAGTCAGGTAGCTACCGGACCGTTTGCTAGTATTACAAGAATGCACTGTTTTGTGTAATATTTTAAAAATTGAACGTTATATTAATAACGTTTCTTTAAGACTTCGTCTTTTGTTCATGGGCATATGTTCCTCGGTGTCCCTTTCTTGATCTCATTTGGATTCAAACCATTATAGCGTATACATGAAAATGAGTGAGATTCCAGCATTTTCTCTTCGGAAAGAAAAGGCAAGTTGATGTCATTTTCCGAATCTACATTTCAAAAGTGTCGTGAAATATTGGTATAGAATATAGAGCAAATGGAGTATTTTATCTTATTGCTTGATAAAATTTTAAGAGATATTTTTGGTGGCGCTTTACACAGAATGGCTTTAAAACTAAGTAGACGTGCTTTTAAGTCATGATCGTTCGAATGTATTGTTACGAGGGAGAACCGTGCCAAGGGCCCGACGGTTGACCGAGTCAGACGAC